TTGAATATTTCTTTCAGTGTGAGAAATAAAAATACTATGTCCACGCTGTGGATCACACCGAATTCTCGACATATTTATAACAAGGAACGTATTTTAAGGTACTTGCCGAATTGCGTACGGTTTTGCTTCTAGAATTCAGTTTAAAGCTTATTTGTAACTCATCAAATTTTATAATTTGAAATGTTAGAAAAACTTAAGATCCATCGTTTAGATTACTCTAGGCTTTTAGATCGTTGAAATCCTTCACTTTCCAMACAAAACCTTAAGTACCTATAGTTGSAACAAAATCYGATGCGAATAATTGGAATTACCCCCTATTACGATCGCTTATWACTCGAGAACCAAGTCGACGGTGAACCTCACTTTTTTCCGCTTYTTTGAATAWGCAACTGAAGATCTTTAAATAGCTAGATTTAAAAAAAGTAGTGTATGAATTATTTCTGGCCGGTAMTACTTTAAGAAGTTACCCTCTCYTAATCATCAATTAGACAWCAGAAAGTCGCGCGCCCATGGCGTTTATAGACGCACGAGAGAAAATATAGAAAACGATTAACAAGCGTTAAGAGTGTCACGTGGAGTAGCCGAGTGCACTCTAGCTTGTTAAGAGTTCTTTATATTTTCTCGAGTGCGTCTATAACGCCATGGGCGAGCGACTATCTGTTGTCAAATTGATTTACAATATAGCTAGATTCAAGAAAAGATGAACCGTGCAGCCCATTGGGAAAACGTTCATAGGTTTTCAACCAATCAGAGCGCGCGTAATATCGCTCATCTCGCTCGTGCGCGTGCTCGCGCTATTGACGCCTTCGGATTTGAAAATTTAGAGAAAAAAGCTAAGGCGAGCGTCCGTTGTGCCTTACATGACTTATAGTGGATGATTGCGCGCTGTGCGTAAATCTCTATAATAATCTCAATTTTTTCAAGCAATCATCCACTGTAAGTCATGTAAGCTAAGACACAGCAGAGCGCGCGCGGTATCTGACGGGCTCAAGTTTATYCATATTATGTACAGCGGTAAATAATATAAAACAAGTTGGTGGAGTGACAAGACATTTCGTAGACACTGAAAGATAAGTGGCCCCCCTCTGCCCCCTGTGATCTCATTATGGCTATTTACGTAGTCTCTCATACGCAGCCGCCATTAGAGTCGTCACGCAACGCTCATTCCCCTAACTAATTACTTAGGGGAGTGAGTGTTGCGTGACGACGGCTGCATAGGAGACTAATTATACGTCGAGAATTAATATCAAGCATGTAGGCATAACTCTAATATCAAGCATGCTAGCGTACAAATCTATAAATAAGGAAAAAGGAAAGGAAAGGAAAAATGCCAATGTCATATGTTTACGTCGATAAATAATTCCACGCATACTTTCACGGACCCTTTGCACGTTATCTCAAGTTAACGTCAAAACAATGTCTAAAGAAGAGAGGAGTTTTTTTGTTGTGGTCAGTAGATAATGAGAATCTGTTCAAAGGGTCCTTATGCTTGGATGGAGCAGATACGTCTGGATGCAGGGGCCGCATAACTATTTACGTAAATACTAACTTGGTTTATAACACGATTAACAACGATACCATTATTTTCGTTACAAATATTACTTGATATACTTGAAATAAAGGAACGACCGCATAACTACTTACGTAAATACTAACTTGGTTTATAACACGATTAATAACGATACCATTATTTTCGTTACAAACATTACTTGATATACTTGAAATAAAGGAACGACAGTTTTAAATGTCNCTTACATGACTTACAGTGGATGATTGCGCGCTGTGCGTAAATCTCTATAATAATCTCAATTTTTTCAAGCAATCATCCACTGTAAGTCATGTAAGCTAAGGCACAGCAGAGCGAAATGCCAATGTCATATGCTTACGTCGATAAATAATTCCACGCATACTTTCACGRACCCTTTGCACGTTATCTCAAGCTAACGTCAAAACAATGTCTAAAGAAGAGAGGAGTTTTTTTGTKGTGGTCAGTAGATAATGAGAATCTKTTCAAAGGGTCCTTATGCTTGGATGGAACAGATACGTCTGGATGCAGGGGCCGGCCGCATAACTACTTACGTAAATACTTACTTGGTTTATAACACGATTAATAACGATACCATTATTTTCGTTACAAACATTACTTGATATTCTTGAAATAAAGGAACGACCGCATAACTACTTACGTAAATACTTACTTGGTTTATAACACGATTAATAACGATACCATTATTTTCGTTACAAACATTACTTGATATACTTGAAATAAAGGAACGACTGCATAACTACTTACGTAAATACTAACTTGGTTTATAACATGATTAATAACGACACCATTATTTTCATTACAAACATTACTTGATATACTTGAAATAAAGGAACGACAGTTTTAAATGTCGTAAAAATCGAAGGATAGAAACTTAACAAGATATGTATAAATGAGATAGAGCTACAGCCTCTTAAAAAGAAACTGATAAAAATTCCATAAATTATTTGTTGACAATTATGCTTTTGCTGGAATAGAAATATATGTTGTCATGCTTGGATCTAGCAGAGTTATCTTGAACAGGAAAAAAAAMAACAAAATATTTTGACGTCTGTAAATTAATGACAGGAAACCACAAGATTGTTTCAATAGTTTGCTCGATATGCATGGATAGAATAGACTTATCCAGAAACACCACAGGTAGCCCAAGTGTATAGTTAGTGGGCTGTGACGTCATCAGTTTTAACGAGTGCGAATGATGTTGTTTGAAACTATTCTTTCTAGAGGAATTAAGTTGATATATGATTTTGAATAAAGTCTTTACGAATGCTTTTTGGTATTTGAGGAACATTTCGTTAATGAAATATGGCCATGAAACTATGGCTTGGAGAGGTTTTGAGCCTTTTGAAAATTTGTTTTGTTAACATTTACGCTTGGGTTACCTGTGGAAGCACACGGATGAGTAAACAAGATACCCAGGGAAAAAGTTCTGCTCGGCTCTTGCTTCAANTTACAAACATTACTTGATATACTTGAAATAAAGGAACGACAGTTTTAAATGTCGTAAAAATCGAAGGATAGAAACTTAACAAGATATGTATAAATGAGATAGAGCTACAGCCTCTTAAAAAGAAACTGATAAAAATTCCATAAATTATTTGTTGACAATTATGCTTTTGCTGGAATAGGAATATATGTTGTCATGCTTGGATCTAGCAGAGTTATCTTGAACAGGAAAAAAAAAAACAAAATATTTTGACGTCTGTAAATTAATAACAGGAAACCACAAGATTGTTTCAATAGTTTGCTCGATATGCATGGATAGAATATACTTATCGAGAAACACCACAGGTAGCCCAAGTGTATAGTTAGTGGGCTGTGACGTCATCAGTTTTAACGAGTGCGAATGATGTTGTTTGAAACTATTCTTTCTAGAGGAATTGAGTTRATATATGATTTTGAATAAAGTCTTTACGAATGCTTTTTGGTATTTGAGGAACATTTCGTTAATGAAATATGGCCATGAAACTATGGCTTGGAGAGGTTTTGAGCCTTTTGAAAATTTGTTTTGTTAACATTTACGCTTGGGTTACCTGTGGAAGCACACGGATGAGTAAACAAGATACCCAGGGAAAAAGTTCTGCTCGGCTCTTGCTTCAACAGAAATAATAAAGGCCATACCAACGATCTGTAGTGAAAACAAGTTTTTCGATAGGCATAAATTGATTGCTCTTATCGCATGCAGTATAAAATGATTCGGYACTAGAGTGCAAACAACATATCCGTGAAACACTAATTACTCAGTTGTTCAAAATAGTGCTAGTTAAACAAAAGAAAACTATAGAATTAGCATAAAATAGTGTAAGTTAGTATTACTAATATTTCGCGGATATATTGTTGGCACTCTATAGTGCAAACACTACTATCTGTGAAACAGTACTATGTAATTAGCACTAAGTTGTAGTAAATAGTACTTAATAAAACAAATTTCGAGAAAAGAAGACATTTTACTATTTTATACTATTAAGTATAAAATAAAYTCACTACTGTTTTGCAGATTAAGTGTAACCACTTTTAGAAATATAACGAAGACATAGACCATATTTTGTGTTGGTCGTGCTGTTTGCCAGTTTCAGACCACGTGTCATTCTCCTGAAAATAAGATTCTTTGTTTAAGTTGTATTCATAATGATACTTCTTGTCATGCGCAATCGTTAAACAAAGAGTGGCATGATCCTCTTGAGGAATGACAYGTGGTCACACCAAAGAAAAGATTACGCCCAAGCTAAAAAAAATCTATATGCTTTAAAGATAAGTCGAAAATATTGTAATATGYTTAGTGTGTGAAACTGGGATATCCAAAATTTCGAGCAGTAAATCTAAATAAATGAAGTTGCAATAAGCAATGGCCAATTAATCAGCCGGCAATATTAAAAARTGCGTCAAATAGAAAAGGGCGAGTTTTGRAAAAAAAAWTCATTCTTGAAAAAATCTCRAGATTAGTACGTCTGCTAAATTTGAGCATGTTTCAATGCAAAGAATTACAGGCTTTCAAAAGTGTCAAAAATGTAAAAAGATTGCATATGTTCATACGATTAGAAAAAGTTTTGCCAATGAGATAAAAATACAAAACTCGCCACAGTCTCTTGCTCAATTTCAGAGTGACCTATTCTTATGAATATATTTGTTGTGCTGTCTTATCGAGTTAAGCAAAACGATGAATATTTTTGATTATTTTCAACGAAACCCAAAGAATCACAAAGTTGACGTGAAATACTGTATAGCAGAACAACTAAGTAAAGTCAGCTCATTTTGTAAATAGTGTCACTTGTGCTAAGCAGTACTGCAGTGCATCTTGACAGACATTGCCGACTTAAAAATTATGAATTTAAATTTCCCGTTGAAGCWAAAGCAAAAGCAAAAATAATTGTGTAGTTCAGCAATACAGAACTGTGACTTTCAAACAAGCAAATGGCATAGCAKGATCATTCTTGATTGTCATCTCTCAGGCCTGTTTTAATCTATCAATAAAAATAATCGAAAGGTATATTCAAAACATTTTGTTAAATAATGTTATC